CTCCTCTTGAGTCTTATTTTTCAAACTACTCTCCAATGGGCCATGGAAATAGGATTCTATTTCAACAAATTGAACATCTCTGAAAATATACATTTTTTTTGTAGTGGGATCATAACATTTGTATCCCTATTGAGTAGAAGAGTAATCAATAAAGATACATCTAATGGAATGTTTATCAAAGTTATCTCAGTTGTGCCTAACCACATGAACGTAAGACACACATCCAAATACTCGCAAATGAGACAAATCAATTTTTCTATTTTTCAAAATTTTAAAGGGAGACTTATCCTTAAGAATTTTACTTGGAAGTCTGTTAATTAGATATCAAGCAGTGAAAATAGCTTCGGGCTAATAAATTTTAGGAACATGCATCTGAAACATCAAAAATCTTGTAGCTTCTGAAAAAGTGTCTATTTTTCTTTTTAGCAACTCCATTCTGCTGAGGTATTCTAACATACGATGTTTGGTGTATAATACCAAGATTCAATAAATACTCAGAAAATACTTTGTTCACATACACCATGCCATTATCAGTCCATAAAATTATAATCTTACCATTTTATTAAGTGAAAATCAGTTTGGAAAATTCTTTGAATACATGAGAAACTTCTGTTTTTTATTTCAATAAATATAACCCCAATAACACGAGACCAATCATCAATAAAAGTAACAAAATATTTAAAGCCCACAAAAGAATCAACTGGGGCTGGTCCCCATACATTAGATTGTATCAAATAAAAGGATTCATTTGAAACATGCATAGAAGACTGAAAAATAAGTCTTGTCTGTTTTGAGAATTTACAAACTTCACAAGAATAAGAGTTTAAAGATAGAGAGAGTATTAAAAAATTTAAAACTTTAGCTTAAGGGTATCCAAATTTTCAATGCCACAATTTGTTAATATCATAATATCTTGACTAGTAACCAAATCCTTATTCTCCTGATTGAATAAATATAGCCCATGAAACAGTCTTTATTCACAATCTTTCTCCCCGTGGTCCGGTCTTGGATAGTCGTAGAGTTAAGAGAAAAAATAACATCGCAATTCATGCTCTGAGTAATTTTACTAACAGACATCAAGGTAGAGGAAAATGATGGCATAAAAAGAGCTTCAGTGTTTTGGTATTTGGAGAAGAAATTGATCTTACCGACACCATGGATTGGAATAAATGAACCATTGGCAATAGATACAGAGTTCATATTTTCATTATTTTTTAGGTTGGATAGACACTGTAAATTGCTAGTCATATGATCTATGGCCCCTGAGTCTATTATCCAAATAAAAATGTCACAGGAAGGCATATAAGCAAACCTGCTAGTTGTGTCTGAGAATGAAGAAGAATGATCTTGTGGGAAAGGAAGAGTCATTGTTGTTACTTGGTTGCTGATAATGATCATAATTACAATGATGAGTTCGAGTGGTTGCGGTTTGAGCGATAGGTCTGTTGGGTTCTCTACCTCCACCATTATTTTGAAGCTTTTTTGTTTCATATTTCTTATTATTAGCAACCAGGGGAGATTTTTCAACATTTTATTTAGAAGCTTCAAAACCAAGATTCATGATTTTCTTCCTAGTTATGTATCAAAGTTTAGATTTTTCAAAGAGAGAACGAGAAACAACTTTTGACCAAGTAAAATAATTAAGTTTATTCAAAAGAACAATACTAAGTTTCATGTTGGAGTTATTTTCTGAATCACTCATTTACTAGAAGATAAGGGTAACAAGAAGACTTACCAGATCAATAAATGACAATTAAATAGTAGAAGACATCTCAATCAGAAACAACCTAAAAACCACCCCAATGAACAATATTGTTTCTCTCTCTAAATAACGTCAATATTTATCCAACAATTTACGTATTAAAAGCTCTCGATCAGAATATAAGAGGAGAAAGAGAAAGAGAGGGCCGGGCATCCAGCCCGCCAAGGGAGAATACGAATCAATGACCTTTGCGCATGAATCACAAGGCACTATATCAACCCATTAAGCCGTCAACAAAGCCGAGTGTTTTTGCTTTCAGAAGATGAAATTTTGCTTAAAGAGGCGGAACTGGGCCTGTGCATCAAATTGTTGGGAAGGGCCCGTGCAATTTAGATCACGGCAATATGTGAATAGAGAATAGCAAGTGGTCAAATTATTGACAACGTGTTGCATCAAATTGGAAACAATCTCGTGAGATATGTAGAAATGCAAGATGAAAATAGAGGTTATGGCATCAAGGTCATGGAGGACATGAACCACAAAGGAAACGAGATAGGACATGAAAATAGAGATCTGCAACACAAAGCTAAAAGCAACAAGACTGTAGAATCCCACCTTGTATCTCTAATTGGAAGAACCCCAGAGGGGTACACGATCCTTTCATACAACTTTGCAAGAGTTGAAGGAGCAAGAGTTAGGTGCTTGTACTGAAAACAGCAAGGTCAGAGAAAAATAGGGACCCACAAGATATGGACCAAGATCAAGAGAGACAAAACAACGCCCGATGAACAATGGATAGCTACTGATAAATCGGTCTGCTCTGATACCATGTTAAATTTGCAATAAAGAAAATAGAGATGAGAGAGAAAAACCAACCAGACATATATATCTACGGAAGGTCAACCAATATCCCATTTATAACGGATTACTCTGGTCTAACAAAGATTTATAGAGTTACAATTATTGCCTTTTAGGAAACAAATTTCACTATAATAGTAATCCCACAAAATAGGAAACTCAATATCAGAAACTTAATATCTTGTAATATACAAGATAGAAAACCCAATATCTAGTTTTTATAATTTGTCAACACATACCAACGAAACTGAAAGATAAATTCTATAGGACGGATGTGAGACTAGTTTCACGTTATGGGGGGAATGGTAGATGGTAAAAACATATTTCCATAGAATGAGTGTAGCTGGGATGAGAATGTTAAGATGGATGAGTGGCAAGATAAGAAGAGATAGACTTCGAAATGGATTTATTTATAAGAACATATGTATGACTCCAATAGATGATAAAATGAGAGAAAATAAGTTTAGGTGGGCCGACAATGTACAACACATACCCATTATAACACCTGTTAAGAGGTGCGAATTGGTTCGAGTGGAAGTTTCAAAACTGGCAATAGATAGGCCAAAAAAGACATAGTTGGAAGTACTGAGAAAAAATATAGATACTTATGACCTCACTAAGGGTATGACTCTTAGTAGTGCAGAATGGCGGATCAAAATTTATGGAGCCGACTCATAGTTAGAAAAAAAAGACTGTAATGATGACGACATATTATAAAATGAGTAATTATCCTATGATACCCTCCTACACCCATGTGTGTAGGACTCCAGAGAATCACCATTAAATTTGACACAATTATTTAGAAAAGTCAAGTCTCAAATCTATGTGATAAATTTTTTAGAGATCTGTACTAAATTTAATTATGATCCTTTAAAGTCATACACACATAAGTGTGGGAGGGTCTCATATGATCATTACTCTTATATAATATATATATCATATGTGTTGTATCATCGAGTCCTAAAAAACTTGGTATTATATATGTGATTTCCTATTTAGATTGACCAAGACTGGGCACAACTGTAGGGTCTCAAGTTTTATCGAACTCGGGTGTCGAATCGGTTGATCCATTCCGCAAATACTGAACCCTCCTAGTATTTTGCTTAGTTTTAATTATGTTATCCGTCACCAGTTATTACACTTGGTACGATCCTCGATCTAAACGATATGCGTATAAGATCTAGAAAACGTCATGGAAGGGAGTTCGAGCTATGGAAAAAACATTATAAAAGTAAAGATGTCAAAGACAAATAAATGAACACGAGTGGTCTCCTTGAATTGTTCCATGATTTTATAGTTTTCAGAAAAATAAAATAGAATAAGGTTTATCCTTGTTATACAGGCAGTTCCCAAAATAATAACAAGGCAGTTCCCAAAATAAAAAGCCCTGTTTTTTACATATGTAAATTTGGAATATGTCCTTTAAAACAAAGAAAAATTTGACTTAACAACATGAAAGAAGATGCCAAAATTTTACTTTATTCCTCTCCAATTTGATAAGAGAAAAAAATAATACACTTAATCTTTTTTTTTTTTTTGCTTGGTAAATTAGGGGGAAGAAAACCCCAATCCGTTTTTTTCAAATAATTTAAGACCAAGTTTTTTTTGGAGGTGTTGAGGGAGTTGCGTCAGTGGAAATAGAAACCACAATGTGGTGACTAAAATATAAGGGTGCTACTACCATGATCTAGCCCCTTTAAAAAAGTACCATTCAAAATCTTTGATCAAAATTTGCCAAAATTTAAAATTTTGTTTCTCAAAACTCTTACTCTTTATCATCGTAAGAAACATAACAAGTGTCTTAGCTACTAAGAAATTTAATTACTTTTTGTGAAAGATGAAAATAAAACATAGGTTTATTTTAAAAAGTTATATAAAGGTGACGCTCTAACCATCAAATTAAGATATACATCAAAAATTTAATTGTATCAATGTCTAAATATCTTCAAATCGATCATCTCGACGAGCTGAAGATGTATAGACATGAGAAAAAATAAATTTTTTGTCTTAAAAATAGCACATCAAGTAATATATTTTCTAGACGGTCAATTTTTTAGATTTTAAAATGTTTATAGATCTGCTACATATATATTATTTTTAAAATTTTAAAATTTATAATTAAATATAAAAAAATTAGGCCATATATTTTACCACTATTTCTGACCTTTACTTTGATTTTTTAAAGTATCAACCTTATAGAAACCACATCAACAAAGCTTCAACAAAACAAAGTTATTTAAACTCTTTACCTGTGAAAAGGTCGGCCAATCTGATCGGTGCTTAACTTAGACTGCCACGTCTAAGCCAGAATCCGATACTTGCTCAGATCATGCCATGTAACCCTCGTTTCCTTCTCTCTCCAGTTTCCCATATTCCCACAAATCAAACCTCAATTAAAGTATTCGAAATTTTTGCTAATAAATACACATGTAACCCCCACTGTCTCTTTCTGTCCGCATTTCGCTGTTGAACTGATCTTCGTTCTCAAAACTGCCATATTTGTGACCAGAGGACTGCAAATTTTGAAGTATGGGGTTTTTCTGGACTCTGTTGACCCATCTCCATGCTCTTGCTGGGTACTTCTCTCTCTCTCTCTCTCTCTCTCTCTCTATAGTAGTAGTAGTACTATAGTAGTTATTACTTCTTCTTCTTCCTTCCTTCCTTACCTACCTTACTTACTTACGTTACGTAGTTAGTAGTCGTCGTCGTCTCTCTCTCTCTCTACTA